TGTGAAGATCATAAATGGACGTGGCACTTAAAAAAAATAAAACCTTAATATTTGATTGCATAAAGTTCAAAATTGTTGCAAACGATTCCTTTCGTTACCCTAAGAATATTTTTAGTATTTAGAAAATATATATAATTCGCTGTGTGCTTGAGCGTGTGTTCAATTATATTAGGTTGTTCGGAAAATAATGTTAGATTGGGATTTTGTGATATAATTGCGTTCTAATATATGATTATAAAAGTTGCACAAAATATATTACTCATTCGTAATCATTAAGGAGTTCTCTTTGTTATCAATCTCTTTTAGAATTTAACTTAAAACCTTATATACACCTCATTTTGAATATGAAAAAAAAGAGATACATTTACTTTTTTTGCATGAATTCAATGCTTGGCCATAATACTTCTGAAACTGCTGCCAACATTAACAGAGCATGGCGCGAAGGATCCCCTTGTGATCGCAGAGTACGGCGCTGGTTTCTGAAGTTCCTCAGTGAGGATACGAGTCTTGAAAATCAAGGCGGTAGAGGATGTCCGTCCGCAATTGACGATTAACATTTGAAAACAGTCGTCGAACAAATCCAACGTCAGAGAAATGTCTACTAATGTTCGAGGTTTTAAAGTGTTCGATACTGCATTTGCAAGATTCGAATGATTTATTTCTTGACTTGTGATGAAAAAAGGATCCTTTATGACAATTGTAAGCGATCGACTTAGTAGCTCCATCATTGTAGTAGCTCGATAATTGTTGCTGAGCTCAAATAAGGCGAAGGAACACTTATATATAAAAATAGTTTTATTCTTTGAGTTGCGGCGAATGTGTAGCGTGAGGGAGAATCAAAGAGGTTAGGATCGCGCACACGGGAATTGATGGAGACAAATCTTCGTTGAAACTCTAGCCAGCCTCTCTATGCAGATCGATGATCGGAACGGTTATATAACATTTGGATGCCTACGCAACTTTACATGGCCACACCTTCTTCCGGTATGTCGCATACGCAAGCACGTGTAACCCTTCCAATCAGGACACCTGTACGTCCTGTTTATTATAGCCACCGGATACATTTCATGTTTATGCTATCACCGATTTCCACTCATACACTGATGCAGCGGAAGTAAGGCCAAAGGCCTTTCCTCGGCCGATATCCAACATCATGACGAAGAACCCAAACACTTTCAAAAACCGCCAACAGAAGATTATGGTGACTGTCTACTAGTCCTCCATTGGCGCTATTTACATTACAGGTTTCTAGAATTTAAACAGAGCATCACCGACGTAGTTTATCGCCGGCAACTGGATGAAATGCACATTTAGTTAAGCAAATTGTGACCGGCACTGGTGAATCAAAGAGTTCTGAATCTGCTTCATGACAATGCAAATGTTGCAAGTATGGCACTGCAGAAGCTCACCGACTTGGGATACGAGACTTTTCCACATCTATCATATTCCCTTAACTTCTCGCTCACTGACTACCACCTTTTCAAGTATCTTGACATTTTTAAGTCGAAAAGATGTAGAAACGGAATTCAAAGATTTCTTGTCATCCAAGCCTTTTAGAGTTTTATCGTATACGCATAAATAACCTTGTAACTGTATATATATATATATATATATATATATATATATATATATATATATATATATATATATATATATAAACAACCTTGTAAATGCAGATATAAATAGACGTACAGTGTCCTTTTTTGACTGTTTAAATGATTTCATTCAGGAATAAAAGTCGATTCTAAACTCGGACATTATTTTCCGAAAAACTTAATAGCTTAAATCTGCGATATTAAATAAATACATTATTTACAATATTTATATTCGGACTATTGTCTTCATATTTTTTGTTGTTATAACAAAATTTCGGCCGTTGTGATCTCCGGCTTGCATGAGATGTATATCGATCCGGATGAGCTACAGGGATTTCCGAACTGGATTCTTTATTTAGTCTACAGAGATAGACATGTTTATGAATATCTATGTATTGGACTCAGTGGAAACAGTGTGAGCAATAACTGAGCAGTACTAAAAACAAGAACTAGACGAGGTATACCTTGACATAGACAATGGAACGAGAACATTTTATCCCCTTAGATTAAATAAAGGGTTCAGTTCGGATTTCCTTGTAGGTACCCGAATCTATATACACCTGATGAAAGCCGGAGAGCACAACGACCGAAGTGTTGTGATAATAACAACAAAGATAAGGACAATAGTCCCAATGTAAACAATGTAAAGAATGATAATAATAATTCCTCGTCCCAGAAATTTGATAGAAATTAAATAAATGCGGTTTTGAAATTTATCGGGACACTCCTTTGAACTGAATATGGCAGAAGGACTAGTTTAAGGTGGGGGTCTTGTGTGTACATTGGTCTGGGGTCTGCTCACTCAACTCATTCCTTTTTGGGATGAGCGGATAATAAATGTGGTTTTAAAAATCATTCCCTAGCATATGTATTATATTTTTCCCAACTTTGTATTTGCTTAATGAAGATAACTAATTTACATATTTAGAATTAAAATCAATTAAAAAATATGAATGCGTTTTGTTGTTCATTTCGAGTTTTTGTCGATGGCTGTCATAATGAATTTGCCTGAAAGTGTTAAGCACCTTAGCATTTAGATCACAGCTTAGGAGAAAAGAGAAATAAGCAATAAGTCATTAGAGTTTGGATGTTTGTTTTTGTTTATATGACAATGGTGATGACAGTTTTAATTTAGGTTTATTTTACCTGAAATAGCAATAACATTTTATAGGGTAACCAGGATATTATAAGTACAGGTCTAGTACATTTGCCGATAGGCTCTTCGAATAAAAAATGCACTAATTTACAAGAATCATTGGTATAATGAAGTTTTGAAAACTCAAGAAATTCTACACCTAGACGAGCAGCAAAGTATAATAGAAAGTTTAGAATTGAGAGATTATGCATTGTGTGATTTGTTAGGGGTCATATTGATGGGCCAATTAGAAGACAGGATTGATTAATTGATTTGTCTTTTAACGGTTTATCAACCCTTTGCCGTTTATCTAAAACCTGAGGATATTTTTACATTGTTTTGGGGAGAAAATGATTTTAAAGAAATATGTTTTACTAATTAACCCATAGCTTGTTGGGAAGGAGAGTTGGATTCATGCCTTTCGCAAGGGCATTTGCGCGTAAATGAATATAACGAAACAGAGTGGAACAGGAACTCGACTCTTCAATTCTGAGCCGTTATCCATTATCTCACCTGCACATTCAAGCACCTGGTATTCCATAGTGGTCACCCATCTAGATCCTAACCATTCTCGACGTTGCTTAACTACAGTGATCGTACGAGAACTGATTTTCAACGCGATATGTTCGTAGGCTCAAAAGAAGGAAACAGAATTTTTTCTAATGAAAAACAATTTTATTCAAATGGCGTTTTGAGCCGTGAACTGTTTACATATTAAGTAATTTGTTCCTTCTGATTGGCTGTAGGCAATAGTTCGAATAGTAGATTTATTTGAGGAATTAGAATCTTCGTGGTTAAGTTGATCGACATTCCTGGCTTTAGCAAAAGAAGACAAGGCTTGGAGAAAGAGTAGCTCTTAATGCCTTTGTCACATCCAACTTATCACTTAAGTCGATGATTTGCTGTCTCACCCTATAACGGTGGAGTGAAGCGTATCTTCGGAATATTCTACGAAGAGACCGGTGATATCCTGAATAATTTTCCCGGGAATGCAATCCGTGATGCCGTCACTTACACCGAGCAAGCCACGAGGAATATAGTGCATACTCTGAAGAGACAAGGCAAAACTTTACGGCTTCGGAGGTTAAATATGAAAATATTATTTCTCAACGGCCATTTTCTTTACTACGCCGCGCAAGATCAGATTACAGCTGTATAAATTTAAATGTTTCATTTCCTCACACCCTTTAACCGATTCAAACTTCATCATGTCTGGACGCGGAAAGGGATGAAAACGATTGGGAAAGGGGAGGCGCCAAGCGTCATCCGAGGATATTGAGATAAAATCCAGGGTATCACCAAGCCCGATATCCGCCGTTTGGCTCGCAGAGGTGGTGTCAAGCGTCTCTCTGGAAAATTACTCAACTGAACATTGGCCATGGAAATAGCGATAGTCTTGCCTTTAAAGTAAAGAGGCTGCAGAGTGGAAAATAAGTTTTCCTTCACGTGATCTTTTGAATTCTATTAAGACTGTGAAGTGAAGATTGAGTAGCGCCAGTAGACATATGGCACCAATACTCGCAACAATACATACTAATAAGATGTTAGAAGAATTACATCAATACTGACAGCAGTAGCCGCAGAGTCATAATTCTAATACCGAAAATTTATTTGTTTAGTACGGTACAAGGCTATAAGTTGAGAGCACTGACTCAGCGGTAGTAATTGTTTATAAGACAAAATCAGTGCTCCTTGGCGAGGTATCCAATTATAGAGTTTACTGTTTTCTTCATTAAGTGGTCGCGTAACAATAATATTATTGAAGAATAATGTGATGTAGATGGATTTAAAATCTGCGTTCATATATCAGAACGTCTCGACGCAACAAAAGAGAAATAGGCGAAAGTTGACATGCCCCTCCGGGTAAAATTATTTATCATATGTTTAATCAATTGAGTCACGTCGTGTCTGTAAACCAACAGAACCGAGTCTCTTGACAATTATAAATAAATAGACCCTTTTCTCTCGCTTTGGGGGTCTGGCCAAGATGGGAAGACGGGCAGGGATGCAAGGTGTTCTCAGTTGAAGAACGGGTGTTGTCAATAAACTCGACAGTAAGCCTCGAGTTTCAATTCTTCTCACGATTTCAAGTCTTCATTTACCGTACTTTCCGGCTTACAAGACGCACTTTTTTCCCCTAAAAATACTCTGAAAAATACGTGTTCCAAGACGAACGTAAGGCAATGCCCAAATTCAAGTAAGCTTGGACGGTGACCTAATTGGCTTGAATGATAGGGACGTGGATTTGTATGTTGAGTCATTACACTACAATGTTATCTATCTATCTATCTATCTATCTATCTATCTATCTATCTATCTATCTATCTAATTCAGTATATATATATGATTTAACCTCAGTACTTAGCTGTTACAAGTATTTCCAAAACTATAAACCTTCCTGGAGCCGAGCCACATGCTTAAACATGTTCTGTTTACTAGAAGCGGCGGATAGTAGTGAGGATCATTTATTGTACATGACCGTAATGATGACTCTGCAGATAATAGTTTAGAGCTTTTACATGAATCCAGAAGTGACATGTTCTTGGGATTTGAGGATGAATAAAATTTCTTTGATTATTTTATATTTTTGCATGCATATTTTTTCATATTTTTAATTCATTTTTATGAAATTAAAACCACACTTGGACAATGAAAGGTGTATAGTATATTTACTAACCACCAACTAGTATGTCATTGCCATACAAACAAAATTGGACGAGTGATTAAAGTAAACAGCATGTGGCGCCAGTATGCGAGGGACGCATGGTGAATGTGTTGTTGGATGAGAATGACTTTTTTTTCTTAGAAATTTCTTTCCATTATTAGGGTCCGTCTTACAAGCCCCAGCGTCTTGTAAGCCGGAAAAATGTAGGATTTTTCAAGGTCATCGTTCCGTTGAATTAAAATTAATGAAAATTAAATTGAGAAAAATCGAAATTAATAGATTAAAATTTGAATTAAAATTAAAAATTCTGCGGATAATTTTTCCAGCCTTCAGAAATTTATTGACGCTCAATGATAAAATTTTGGATGATAATAATAATAACTGAGACACAATCGTTGAAGGCAACATAGTAGACGATATAGACATTTGCTCAGTTATATTCTCGTAAGAACCAAAAGCAAGCAGGTACAACAATTTTAATATCTGGAAGTGTTTTAACAGAGGACGGAAAGTACGACACCGAAATCCGAAATCACATCGGGATAGCTGAAGATGCCTGCCAGAAGCTGAACAAAATATTAAGAAACAGGAAAATTTCGGTAGAAACAAAGAAATGAGTACGTGAAATCAGTGCTCCTATATGGCAGGGAATGCTGGACAACCCCGTCACAGACGAAGTATAAACCTGAAGAAACAGAAACGTAGTTCTACAGAAGGATGCTGAGAATAAATGACACGGGTTGAACTTATGAGCAACGGCCAAGTTTTATAGAAAATGGAAACATAAAGGACACTTATACTTAACATCAGGTAGAGGCAGTTAAAATTTCTAGCGCACATAATAAAGGAAAGAGGGCCTGGAAAATTCGACATTCACAGGAGATATGAAGGCAAGAAAGATAGAGGAAAACATGGTAACCTACCAAACGAGTTTGTGTAAATGGATGGCAGAGCAAACATCCGGTTCACACTCCTCTTCGTTCTTTTGGACATGGGTTGAAGTTTATCCTTTTTTCCCTGTTTAGAATTGGGTTTTCGGTTCCTTCTAAAAATATTTTCAGTCTGTTTTGATTCCAGTCGCAACTTGCGTCTTAGTGGCATTATCACCTTGCATATGGTGAACTGATAAAAAAATACAGGGTTCAGGAGAGAAAGCAACTAGACAAAATTTACTAAGAGCTACAAAGAACAGGAAGTTGAGAAGAGCCATGATCGCCAACGTTCTGAAGGGACATGCCACAGGGAAGATTAATTTGGGAGGGGTCTTTTCCCCATCCTTCTTCTCTTCTTCTTCTTCACCACATAATTGTTATCGGTGTACGAATAATAATAATAATAATAATAATAATAATAATAATAATAATAATGAACAATCAAAGCTAATCGGCCAGACATTGTTATTAGAGACCGCAAAAAAAAAATTGCTTCCTTATTGATATGGCAGTCACTGCAGACTACAATGGATCTTTGAAGATCTTTAAAATACAAGAACCTTGAAATCGAAATCTCAAAAATGTGGCACATGGGAACATCAACAATCCCTCTTGTAGTAGGAGTCGTCGGATTGGTTGGAAAAGATTTCAGTGGACTCATTGAAGGGATCCTGGAAGCCAATGCCTAAAAGAAATACAAAAAATTGTTCTCACGTGTACAGCCCACACCTTACGAAGGGCTTTATCTATGTAATTTTCTTTTTGTGTCAGTGGAAAATGTCATGATGCGATTTCTAAACTTAGGTCTCTGGGCGGGACCCGGGATGAAATGTGTACACACCAGAAATCAAAGGAAATAATAATAATAATAATAATAATAATAATAATAATAATAATAATAATAATAATTAATCATGTCTGTCCTGACGAACTGTACTTACTCCTTTCTCGATGGAGACAACATTTTCCCCCTGGAACACAAACGATGTTGAAGAGGTTTATATGGCTACTAAGTTCAACTACTAATTAAAAAAAATAGTCCTTTTAATATTCTTTCTCTTTAACATTTTTCTATTTCTTTAGTTCATTCTTTTTCTCTTTCTTTACATCTTTCCGTATTTTGCGCAGATTTCTCTCTCTGTTTTTCTTTCCATTTTCTTTTTCTTTAATGAATTTTGTTTTTCTTTTTTCCCTTTTCCTCTCCATCTTTCATTTGCCGAACTTGTTCTTCACAGTCTTCGTAAATCTTTCACTCTTCTTTTTCTTCATCTTCTTCATCGTTGTTTGTTAATATTATTCTTTTCATTCCTCTCTGAATATTTTTTGCTATTTTTTTCTCTTTCATTCCATTATTTGATTTTTAAATCACCTTCTTCCTGTTTCTTCCATTTTTTTTCATTCTTTTCTCCATAGTCATTCTTTCTTTTTTAACATTTACTATTCATCTTCCGTTTTAATTTTTAAGTCTTCTTCTTCATTTCTTCTTCTTCTTCTTGTTTTTCTTCTCGTCTTGTTCTTCTTCTTTTCTTCTTCTTCTTTTCTTCTTCTTAACTTTTCTTCTTTTTCTTTTCGTCTTCTTCTTGTTCTTCTTGTTTTCTTTTTCTTCTCTCTGTTTCTTTTCTTCTTCTTCCTATTCACTTCTTCTTCTTCTTAGTTCTGTTTTTTCTTCTTAGCGTTCTCTTTTCTTCTTCGATTACACTCTTTTTTCCCCATTTTTCGTAGTTTTTCTCAAATTTCTTTTGGCCTACGTCCATACAAAGTTTTAAAATAAGCACAAAGGTTAGAAATCACCCTTTCTCCACCAACCAAATATGATAAATAATAGGACTAATATCAGTAAAGCATTGTTATCCCCCTCACCAAAATTTTAAAATCTAAAAATATTTTCTGGCTTTAACCTGCAAAGAGCTGATCAACCGTAAACACAAATCAGTCAATCATAAAAATCAAATTTTTTACAGAAAGATAAGCGCTCTTCTAAGATTTCTCGAATATTCAGACCTATCTATCTATCTATCTATCTATATATATATATATATATATATATATATCAGCTTATTCCTATCTATCTATCTATCTATCTATCTATCTATCTATCTATCTGACTGTCTGTCTGTCTATCTACCCTGTTTATTAAATAAACGCAGGTTTTACTCAAATACGTGTATCCACAAAAAATAACGTTTAAGAAATAAAAATATGTCAAATTAATAAATAAATAAACAAATACATGAATAAACATATAAACAAATAAATAAAAAAATAAACAAATAAATAAATAAATAATTTATTCCTTTCTTTACATACGGGGTGCATTCAAGAAGTTTTGAAACATTTTTAGGAGAGGCAATTATAAATTTCATAAATTATTGTAGTTTTAGTATATATTTCTATTTTACATCTAACAAGCTAACTTAACAACTTTTGTTATTCCAGACTGATAGGGACGGTTGTAAAAGCTCTTTAAACATACCCTACTAAACACTGCTTTCCACAGCGAGCAAGTCTGCAGTCAGGACATGAAGACAATATGGAAGCTTGCCCTGCAATAAATTTTTGTGTCAAACTGGTCAAAAATGCTACAGAAACGTATGAAATGCTCCACACTACTTATGGATTAACTAGTATGAGCCGAGTATCTGATTTCTGCTTGTACAAGAGGTACAAGAGCTGGTGGAGAGGGCGTGAGTGACGATGAACGATATGTGGTGGTGGTGGGGAGAGACAATACATCAGACGTGGTTGAGAGAATTTCCAATTTTCTGGATGAAGATCATCATGCGTCTCTAAAGACAATAAGCATACAGTTTTGGAGTTGGTGAGTAACTGTCCACATAATTATTCATGAGGATCTGAACATGCACAAAACTTGTGCAAAGTTTATTCCCGTGATTCTCAGTGACGAACAGAAGGAAAGACGCATTGGTGAGAGCAGGGATATGGGTGTTCCTCACCCGCTAGTCAAGACTTGGCTCCCTGTGAATTTCGGTTGTTCCTCAAACTGAAGAAGAATCCCACAGACAGTCGTTTTGGAGACATTGAGAAGATGAAAGAGGCGGTGACAAAAGGTCCTGGAAATCTTTAATTTGGATTACTTCCATGAGGTATTCACAGAGTGGCCTGGAGCGCTATAACAAGTCAGTTGAAATCGGAGAATCGTACATTAAGAAGATTTGTACTTCTTTGAAATGAATAAAGGTTTCTCCTGAAAAAAGTCTCCAAAGTTCCGAAACTCACCTCTGAAACCCACCACACACACACACACACACACACACACACACACACACACACACACACACATATATATATATATATATATATATATATATATATATATATATATAATGTGTGTTATGGGTAAATTTTCGCCATTTCATACATTATAATTTCGCGTTGATTGTTTTGGTTTTGTCAATTGCACAGTAGTGTCGTTTGAGAACCATTTGTGAGAAAGAGAGCACCATTATGCAGGAACTTCGAAACGGCATGCTATACTGCTTGGCATTTGCACCAGAAGCCCTAATACGAGCAATTAAGTGTGTTTGGGTGCCAATCTGAGGATTCGGAAACAGTTGGATGAGTCTAATGTCGATTACCAAGATATCGAAGCTTGGAAAACTCACTCCGATAATTCTGATAAGAAAAGAACTCACAAATTTGGTGGTGAGGACATCACACTCAATACAGGGGCCTACATCAAGTGCTTTGATGGGGTAGTGTCGCCCTAGGTAAAGAGGGTGGCTGCTGGAAGAGCCTATGCACTATGTCACACAAGCAGGAAAAACGATTCATAGCTGTCAAACAATTTCTGCGACAGCATTACCCCTTACATCTAGCCACCTAACTCCCGAGACTTCAACCCCCTTGATTATTATGAGTAAGGCGCAGTTGAGCGAGAGGCCAACAAAAGTCCTTGTAGCATCAAAGATGAATTGAAGGCCTGGATTATGGCAGCATTCACCAACTTAAACAAGGAGATGGAATACAAAGCGACCGAGAGAGAATCCTTGCAACACCAAGCCACTCCCGTACACATTTACTGATTTTCCTCTCATTTATCTCAACTCGAGACAGTGCCACCTCATACATAGTTAACGGCCACATTAGTCTCGGCATCAATACACCAAACTTTAAATTTCCCGGGAAGTCCACATTAGTCTATTCTTCGCACATCCACCTCGTTTGTCGCTGGATTTCAATCTCACCGTGACGATCTGTCACAGGGAATTTATACCACCTCCCAAGACTCTCACACCTTGCTCCTGCACTGTTGGTATCTTTTCACCTGCGATGGAAAACAGTTCATGAATAACAGAACCTACCTTCATAGAAAGTGGCCTACGCTTCTTTGGTGTGAAGGCCATCTGACTCCATTCTACTAACTCTGCAAGTCTATCCAGAACCAACTGTGCTACTTTCCTATCATCTTGAATTATTGTAAAATCATCCATAAATGCCCGGATTTTGACCTCATTCTGCAGGAAGCGTTACTTTGGCGTCAAACCTCACAGGATCAACTTCATCACCATCACAAACAGTACTGGAGAGATGGCACATCCTAGAGCAATTCCCCTCTGTAGTTCCACATACCTTGTAATGTACTTCATCGTTGAAAAACGCAGCATGAACTGATTGAAGTACATAGCCAGACAATCCCTGAGTCTCTGAGGAACGTAGAAGAACTCCAATGCCAACTGTATCATGTTATGCGGCACTGAACCATATTCATTAGCAAGATCTAGCCAGATAATGTGAATATTCTTCCTTTCTCTTTTAGCCTCGCAGATCTTCGCCCAAATTATTGACACATATTCCAAACACCTCGGAAACACCGGAAAGCCTACCTTTTGAATACTAGTGTCTATATAGTTATTCCTGTCAGCCTCCTGGCAAACATCTTAAAGAACACCTTTCCTTCAACGTTCACGAGAGATATTGGGCGAAACTGACTAAGTATCAATGAATTTTCATAGAAAATATTCGTCCTTTGACAGGATTCGAACCTGCATCCTATACGGAACCGTCATTTACGCTGACGTGCCTACAAAGGATCGTTCGGTTGGCAAGGTTGAATTTACTGCTTATAAACTTCAATCTTCCATGAATCTTGTACATTCATAACTGCTCATGGCGTATCAAATGTAAACAAATGACGTCATATATTAAGAAATGGACAAAGTCCGACAATTTATTTATTAAAGACATTTTTATGTTTAACGTTCTTTTTTTTTATAGATACAAGTCCTGTCAAAGGACGAATATTTTCTATGAAAATTTCTCGGACATTCAGGCCGGTAAATGTTATTTAATACTGTTTATTATAAACAGAGCATTTACTTAAATACAATAATCTATAAAAAATAACGTTAAACATAAAATGTCGTTAATAAATAAATTGTCGGACTTTGTCCATTTCTTAATATATATATATATATATATATATATATATATATATATATATATATATATATATATATATATATATATATATATATTATTGGAACCTAGTTTGTTGAACGTCTCTCTTTTCGAACAAATGGGTTGTTGAAAAAATTTCGAACTAAAATTGCCCCGTTTGTCGTACTACAACTTGATTGCCGACAAGCCAACAACTGCACGCGAACAGCGCGTGATCACTGAGTGATTGAGCGTGTGACATGATTGGCAGCAGTCTTGCCTCATCCCGCAATCAGATTATACACGCTAAAAACTGTCGCATGATTTTACCAGTATATCTTGTGTTGTACATTAATTCTTCTATTTTTTTTTTACAGTATTTCATGAGCCACCATGGGACGGAAGAAAGCTAGTGAAAGTGGAAAGGCGGAAAGAAAAAGAGTGAGAACAACAATAGGGGTGAAGGAAGAGATTATACGAAAACATGGGAATGGCGTTCATGTTTCAGATCTGGCTTTACAGTACAAAGCCGTCAATTTGTACCATCCTTAAGAAAAAGGAAAATAAAAAGAGCTAAGGTTGCCAAAGGAGTGACTGTGATCACCAAGCTAAGACCTCAGACATAAGAAGAATTGAAAAAGTTGCTACGGATTTGGATCAATGAAATGCAGTTGACCGATGACAGTATATTGGAGACAATAATTTGTCAGAAAGCGAAACATTTGCATCATGATTTGCTCAAGAAATCCCCAAGAACAAGTTCCGAGAATGATGTGTTTAAAGCTAGTCGAGGCTGGTTTGAAAAGTTTAAGAAACGAAGTGGCATTTACAGTGTGGTTCGTCAGGGAGTGGCTGCAAGTGCTAATAAAAAAAAGACG